TAGAGGGTCGTCACGTAGTTAATATCAACTTGCCCAGGCCGGATTCGAGGCTGTTTAAGTTATAATTCATTAATACAACTTGGCTATCACTAACACTACTAACTAATGTTTAACTGTTATTACGTAAGTAATAAAGTAAATTATTACTTAATCATTACTACGAAAGAAAGAACACTTTCGAATTTGATCCATGTGCCACACTATTTTGAACAAGTTCGTCGTCTAAAATGTCTTACAAATCCTCTTGGTAAACACCACAGGCGCAGGGGTACCCACAAGGGGGTTTCATGGCGAAAGTTGCGCCATTAAAATTTTTGAGGGGACAAATTTTGACGGAATTTTAAATTTTTGAGAGGAGCACATTTCGACGGACTTACGAATTTTAGAATTGAAAAGTTTCAAATCATGGGACAAAGGGAAACATGGAACATACCTTGGCAAATGTAATTGTGTATGATTTACGGTACTTTTATTTATAATGTTTTTAAGAAGAGGATAGCAATAAATATCTTGGGGAGGAGGATCTACGGGGCTTTGGGGCTGAAGCCTCCCAAAATAGTAAACTATAACAATGTTTCATGACAAAAATTATCTCTAAAAGTATTATTGTTCGTATAATTACATTTAATATGACTTAAAAAATAACTTTAACACCATTTTATAAAGGTAGTTAGTTTCTTTTTTTTCTTCCGAAGTGATCAGCCTAATATATACATTAAAAAAAATTCTTTCGAGCTGAAGACCTCCCAAAAATAAATCCTGGATCCGTTAGTGGTAAACACTAAAATCTTTAGTTTTTTAAATATCTCTACTATAAGATATTATAACTTCTGAAGAATTCCAAATATACTGATCACTATGTATGGTACGCATGAAGAAGGATAGAGGATAGGATGGCCATAGTAGACCAGGAGACATAACATACACTAAAAAAAAATGAGTCATCTTCTCCGCATAAAATCAACTACTGCTTCCTGGCTCACTCATATCCCACACCAGTAGCGGATCTAGACCCCACGAGGAATAGCCGGATATACGGGGGGCACTAGCGGATCCAGGATTTAATTTTTTTTTTTGGAGGACCTTTAGCCCGAAAGCTATATATATATATATATATATAATATATATATATATATATATATATATATATATATATATATATATATATATATATATATATATATAATATATATATATATATATATATATATATTGTATGTTGTATATAATAAGTTGTATATATATATATATATATATATATACAACTTTTCCTTAATCGACCTTATTATCTATATTATCTTTTTATTAGTCCATGGTTGACTAATAAAAAGAAAATACCGGGATCGAAACGTCAATAAACAGAAGAAATGAACATTCAATAGTTTATTAAATAATAATTAAATGACCTTATTCCCAATTAAATAGTTAAGTTTAAATATATGTGTGTATATATATATATATAAAACGATAATTACTTTAGAAAAAAATAAAGATAGATACTAACTACCTATATGAAATGGTGTTAAAGTGATTCTTGAATTCCTATTAAATGTAATTACACGAGCAATGATACTTTAAGAGATAATTTTTTTCATGTTTTTTTTCCATAAAACATGGTTACATTTTACCATTTTGGATGGATGGGGAGGCCTTATAGCCCCCCTCCCCCTCCTCCTCCCGTAAATCCACCAGTTGTACGAAGGAAGTGGAGAGCTTTCGGGTCGAAACCTCCTCCCTCTCCTTCCCAAAATAGTAAAATATAATCCTGTCTTTATAACAATATAATCAAAAAAGTTATTTCTAAAAGTTTTATTGTTCGTCTAATTTCATTTAATAGGACTTCAAGAATCACTTTTTGTATAGCTAGTTAGTTTCTTTCTTTTTCTTCTAAAGTAATTATCGTTATATATATAAACAAAAAAGCTTTCGGGCTGAAGCTCCCTCAAAATTAAATCATGAATTCACAAGTGAATTCGTACAGCCGTTGATAAATTCGTTAGGAAATTTTAACTAATACTAGGTATTGCAATACATTTGCAAATATTAAACCTGAAATCAGATATTTACAGTCCGGAGCACGGAAAGCTTTTTATCAAATGGTTATCACAAGTCTAAAATTTTATGAATGGCTTCACTTTATCGTGAACTACAACTTTTTATCTACGAAAATTCTCAGAAATGGGGCGTTTTCAATCAGGAGATCGGTAAACCCGTTCGTATTTCACTTGATACGTAAGATCATTTGTTCATAAAATCGAGAAAAAAAAGAAGTCTACAAAAATATTGGCCGTTTCGCCTACTGTAACCTTTTTATTTTGACAAGTGAGATGCTTAAAACAACTACACCTTCGGCCAAAAAAATCATTATCTTTGTAATTCACTTTGGTTTTTCTCGATTTTATGTTAAAATTATCTTACAATTCAAGTGGAAAGGAATAAGCATTTATATATTATTTATATTATAAGCATAAAAAGGAGTCTAGTCGCGGACTAATATGCAAAAAGAAATTTTTAGAAATATATATGTATAATTTTGATCCGTCAATTTTCAAAATCTACACATATCTTCTAATTTTTCAAAAATAAAATATCTATATTTATTATTTACATTTAAATTTAATACTTAAGTGAATAGTTGAATAACATAGCTAAATTTATCTTTTTTAATGATAGTCACTGAATCATATTTTAACCACTATATTAATCACGGCTTCATAAGCCAGAGGTAAGGTAATAGGCAATTCTAAATTGGTTACAATACTTACAAAAAATATTAACGTTTCATTAACGGTATTTGTAGCCTCCCTATAGAACTGAAACACTCAATTATTAAAAAAAAAAATATTAATATCCTGCGGAAATGGCGGTTAAAAATTACCTGCCCAATCTGATGGTTAGAGGGTGAGAATAACTGAAGACAGGAGAAAAAAAGGCAATACATTGTTTTCGAGGCAATAAAAAGCATGTCTAATGGAAGTTGTTAAATAAATGAAATTAATGTAAAACACTACTATTTTATATTTCGACGTAAAAGCGACATCAGTGCAAGATGTTATCCATGTACACAATACAATCTCTCTCTATTACATAAAAAAGTTGTTAGTGTGCGTCATATTTTATTTTATTTTAGTATTAGGATCGTAAGAGATTCGTTGACTTTCAAATAATCTCAGTTTTTAAACCTCTTAATTTTTTCAACGACTTTTATTTATGTGGTTGAAGGAATTTAATGATCGAAATTAGGATTCAAATTCTCTTTCGCCTGATGCCTCAGTTATCACTCCTGAGAACCGAAAAAGGAATATTTACTATAGTACGGTCATAATATGAGCCTTTCAGTTGACAGAATGACTAACTCCAATTTCAAAAATTTTGAATAAAGCCATTTCAGTGATATTTCTAGTTGGAAAATTTATATCTGTAGAGACAGCGAGTAAGTTGATTCCTGAGCAGGTGATTGCAGTGTACATTGGACTGTAAATAAAGATATACATTTTTCAATAGAATATCACTAAAATTAATAATAAAACAGGTTGAAATAGGAGTTAGTCATTCTGTCAACTGAAAGGCTCACATATAGTGTAGATTATAAATAGTCCGTGGTACAGAACTCTTTTTATCAAATTATTAACATTCGCCTGAAACTTTGTAAATAGTTTCATCTCCTCGTAACCTACAAATATTTTATTTACGAATTTTCGGAATTGGGCGTTTTCAATTTGGAGATCGCCAAACGTCTATTTAATTAGGTATCGTAAATACTCATTTTATTTCAACTTGTGTAGTAAGATAATCTGAGCACGAACTCCAGAAAAAAGGTGGCCTTCAAAATTATTGAGCCATTTGGCGTGATCTACACCCCTAAAATGCTAAAATAAAGGGATTGTATAGGCCAAACGGCCCAATATTTTTATAGGCCATCTTTTTTATCGATTTTGTGATCAAATTATCTTACGATCTAAGTGGAAAGCAAATGGGTATATACGAGTTTTTAGTAGGTAATTAAATAGAAAAAGTTTGCCGACCTCGGGATTGAAAAGTTCCAATTCCAGGAGTTTTTATAAATGAAATATTTGTAGGTTACGATGAGACGAAACTGTTCAAGAAGTTTCAGACGGATGTTAATAATTTGATAAAAAGGGGTCTGTAACACGGACTAAAACCAATAATAATAATAATGAAAGGCTTAGCGAACCCGAAGATTTGATACCGACAACACCAATCGCTTATTACATACCTCCCTCCATTGGACGCGTCCAAAACCAGTCCCTTCAGATCGGCTTTAATGCTATCATCCCACCTTCGCTTCGGTCTACCCTTCGGACGTTTACCATTCGGTACAGCAAATATTAACCTTTTAGGAATTCTCTCGTTACTAAGCCCAACAATTTTACAGGCCCATTTGATTCGCCGGGAAGAAATTACCACAATTATATTACCGGATTATATATAACGCAGTTCGGCGTTGTGTAACCGTCTAAATTCTCCGGTTAATTCATCCTTCTTCGGTCCGAATATCCTACGCAATACTTTATTTTCAAAAACCTTAAGACGTTGCTCATCCCTTAATGTAAGCGGCCACGTTTCACAACCATAAAGAACTGTAGATAAGACAATGGTTTTATAGATTCTAATTTTTAAGTTGCGGGACAAGAGGTGCGAGCTAAGTAGTCACAGAAAAAGAACAAGCATTTCCCACCTTGATTCTTCTTCAATTTCGTTTTTTCTAGTTATCGTAGACCCTAGATAGCTAAACTTCTCCACCTGTTCAAACATATTACTATCTATATCGATATCACCAGTAATATAACATGATCCTAAAACCAATAATATACAACAAAATACTAAAATAAGCTAAATCTCTAAATGGCCTCTTGGTTGATACCATCTCTTTACTATACTTTTTAATAATTTCAACTGTTTACTCTAATCTTATAATACAAAAAAAGCTTTCCTTAAAGCAACATAAGCTCTGGTTACTGGCTACTATAGAGATATGACTAAGCGCTAAGACTGACCTCTAGAGTGAGAGAGGACAGGAGGGGCGGTAGGTCGGCGGCGGAGAGCGCCTCCCTGTACCTGGACCAGAGGTCGGCTGCCTTGCGGTAGCTGGAGGCCAGCTCGCCCAGCCCCGCCTCAGCTCGCGCCCAGGCCGCCTCCTCCTCCCGCACCTCCGCCCGCAGCCGCTCCCCGACCTCCGCTCGCACCACCGCCTCCAGCCGCTCCTCCGCCGTCCGCAGCTCTTCTAGGCCGCCCTCTCGCTCGATCAGGCTCTCCTTCACTCCCTGCAACAAGAGGAAAACATATTATGTATCAAACAGAGCAAAAATAAAAACAATAATTATAATAGTCTTAATTTATTCTAGAACAAGTCACTTTAAAATTAAGTATAATAAAAGGGTATTCATGCAACAAATACTAAGTATTGTAAACCTCTTGAATGTGTAAAATCGACAAAATTATTTACGAAATGTGTATTAAATATGGCCGCTAGCATTCTCGATTTTAATGCAGCCTAAGGTCTTCTAAAGTGTTGTTAACTTCGTACCGCACGGAGAAGGTTATTGTAAGGTTTTTATGTGTTCGATTCTTTGTTTGTGTACAATATCCGCAGAAATGGGATGTAAAGACAGCTAGGATTTCATGTATGTATTCATCATGCGAGAAGATTCGTTGATATATAAGTTCAAACGAGAAGGCTCAGCAGGTCTTTCGGAGAATATCCGGGTGAGGATTGCAGAAGACCCAAGAAAATGGAAAAGGATTATTCGGGAGGTTACCACAGATGAATGGAATCGGCGGTGGGTAACTACCTCGAAAGGATCAACTTTAAGAAAATATTTCTGTTCGAAGTCGCTTGGATGCGAAGTGAGTTCTCCCGGATTACTGGGTCTATCAATTCCTTATAGGGCATGGGGGTTTCCGTGCTAAGTTGCATAGTTTTGGAAAGGACAAAGATACCCTATGCTCCACCTACGGAGTACCGGAGACTGCTGAGCATGTTATAGTAAACTACACCGCGTTTAATGGACTAAGAGCCGGAATGATGTAAAAAAATGGAATCTATAGCCTCACGGAGGATGAATTTCCCCACTTAGTGACGGAGCAGAACTACCCGTATTACAAAGATTTTGTGTACGGGTGGAAAACTGTTCTGGGGCCCTCACACTTTAAACTGGGAAGAAGAGAACCTGCTAACGGAAGGCCGCCAAACTGATATGGTGAAAAGAAAATGTTGGAGAAAGAAGAGTCTAGAAAAACAAAACGTAATCGTTAAAGTACTTGCCGTTTAATAGCAGGAATGACATACACATTGTGATATGCCATCGCTGCAAAATCCTGTGTAGCCGAAAGGCAAGGAAGGGAGTAATAAATAAATGTATGTATTCATCAATTTCTTTGTAAAGAAGTAACCAGGAGCCAACGGATTTCTAATGAAAATAGGTAGCAGAGGTAATTTATACACTTCAAGGAGAAAAAGGATTTTTCCAGCAAAAAGTGTGGTAAAAGGTTATTTAAGGGTTTCATAATAGCACGACAAAATTTGATGGGATCATAATTCAGGTACAGAGATAGAATACTAAAACCAGTTTTAAGATGATTGGAGCCTGACTTCGTCTTCTTCGCATTTAACTTCAACTTGTTCGTTTCTGCCCAGTCACAGATTCTATTCAAGTCTTCTCGAAGTTTTTTGGTTGCTTGTAACAGATCGGAAGGTACAAAATGTTGTAATGTTTACTATATCTGTCCACTGTATATATTTGGTTAGTTTGTCCTGGTCAGCAAACAGAATAATGCTGTCTTCGGTCTGGAGAAAGGTGTTTTTGAGTGTAAATTATGCTTAAAACCTAGTCACATTTTTTTTAATCACTTCATATGTTGGCATCTCTGGCCTACGGGGAGGTCGAGAACATGCTCCGTAGTAACGTGAGGTTGGGTGACCCCTCCGAGGTATCAATGCTCTCGTAAGCAACATACGTTTGCAAGAGGACCACATCTCGCGCTAAAAGATCTATATACTGTCTTCATCATTTTCAATAAAATACTAAATAAATTATAGTTCTGTTTCACATTTCACTAAACTGACATTAGGAGGGTAAAGCCAAAGACTTACAAATTAAATAAAAAGAAATTGGTTTAAAAAAACAACAAAAAAAACCTACATCTGCGTTATTACGTAAGAGAAGAGCGGAAATGGAAAGCGGACAAAACTACAATAAAAGATATTCGACACTAATCTACAGCAAACATTACCTATTTTTCACATTCCAGGCTTTAAAAGTCAAGAAGGAAATAGGCGATTAAGAGAGTAAAGGAAGAGGTGTGGAAAATTATGGCATCTGATAAGATTTAATCGGGGTGGTATTACGAGTAATGCTATCAACGAGGATAGTGGAGGAACCGTTCAACACGCGTACTTAGCCGATAGCGACGCAAAGCTACTAAGAATTAAACAGTTGTTGCCGCCACAGTATATACTAATAGGTTTTGTGGGATTATATACCAATGTAAGAATCAAATAAAATATAAAAATAAATACATTATAGTTTGGTACAGTGCCAGCCTTAACACCGACCTAGAGGGGCGTCCATTGAGATCGCCGATCATCAAGGGCACTCGCCACTCGTTAAGAATATTTAAAAAATATGTAAAAACGTATTAAAATAATTAATTTTAGCCTATAATTAAAGAAAATGTATTAGAGAAATGTTGAATGAAATAAAAATCAAATACTACATAATATAAAACATCTAAATAAATAAATTAATTTTTTATTTAAGAGAAAGAGGCGAGATGACATCATTGTTTGACGGTACCAAAATTTTAAGACCGGTACTAGTTTGGTAAAAGATTAGGTCCGCATCAGGGGTACCTCCTAAGGTCAATGGAGCATGCTCCTTCTACCCCGATATTTTATTGCTCTCATCTTCAAGAATAGTGCAAGTATAATTTAAACAGTCGTAGATCATATACAAATACACTATCTATGGTAAGTTCCATGTTTTCCGCTTGTTAACTATTTATTTATTTATTCCTCCCTTCCTTGCCTTTCGGCTATACGGGATTTTCCAGGAATGGCATATCACACACTTGTATGCCATTCCTGCTATTAAACCACAAATTCATAATCAGTTTTGTTTTGTTTTTTCAAAAACTCTTTTTTTTTTTTTCATTATTTCATTTTCACGATCTCAGTCTGGCGGCCTTCCATTAGCAGTGGAGGGCCCCAGAGTAACTCCACTCGTATACAAAGCTACTTCCGCTTGTTAACTGGTTTGAAAATTTTCATTTCGAAAATTCATAACTCCATAGAAATGCGCCTCCCTCAAAAATTCAAAATCCTCTCAAAATGTGCTCCCATCAAACCCACTCTGTGCATCTCTGGTCCTCATGAGTTATGTGGTGTATGATCATTTCAGAAGACTTTTGCGTCCAGTGAAGAAGTTGTCATCTTACTGCTCTAAATATTTTGGATTTCTAGATGAGGATTGTAGAGTTTACGGAGTGCAGAAGGCTTGGAAGCCTTCAACAACAAAACAACAAACAAGTTATTCTTTGTGCTCACTAGCGGATCCATGATTTAATTTTGGGGAGGCTTCACCCCGAAAGATTTTTTTTATGTATATAACGATAATTACTTTGGAAGAAAAATAACTGAACTAAGTACTGTATGAAATGGCGTTTAAGTGATTTTTGAAATTCAATTAAATGTAATTACACGAACAATATTACTTTTAGAGATAATCTTTTTCATAAGACATGATTATATTTTACTATTTTGGAGAGGGTTACAGCCCGAAAGCCCCCCTCCGTAGATCTGTCTGTGATTGTGACTATCTTTTTTTTTAATTGAAAATTCTTTATTGAGATATATTACAATCTGTCAAATCTATGGAGGATAGTAATAGTGATAAAGAGTAGCTCATTCACATTGTGAACAAAAAATAGAATAAATAAACAGGAAAATAATAATATTAATGTAAATGTATATAAAATAAATTAAAAAAAAAAACTAAACTAATCAAAATTTGTGACTATAGATATAATATAATGCCCAGAATAATTTTAAATTATATTCGTACTATTTACTTTGTATCAAATAAAACAGCTCAAAGGAAAACAACGATTATTATTATATTTCGTCGTTTTATCTCGAGTAATAAAACAATAAATGAGCGACAATACACAAAACGTTATCTTTATTGCTCTCTTTCAAATGACATCGCTGAACTGAAATACCATTCGATTTATCATGCTCGATGATTTCGAGAGCAAGATATCGACACAGGAAATGTCTTTTAGAACTTACCAAACACCGGTAAATAACTGCATGTCCTTCAGATGTGCCAACGTTATTTTATAAAGAATACACTCAGACAAGAGCCTTCCAAAGCTGTACAAAGGATGACTTTTGCCCGAGATGCAAGGTCAATACGGGTCGCGGGATATTTTAATACACTTGACAATGGCAGGTTGAATTCCTTCACAAGCGGAAGCCATATCTCTCTATCACGTCATGGTTGAGGACAGTTATACCTCTCGCTTTCTTTAAAATCATTTTTTTTCTTCACTTCATTATCTAAGAACGATACCATTCTATGAATATGGAGCGAAGTATTTTAATATCCGACACGGTTATCGCATGCGGATAGTTCAGAAAGATAAGTCACGTTTCGTAACTGATACAAGCGTAACGGTTAATGTGTCAAAAAGTTATTCTATATACCATTAGTTTGAATCATATAAATGCAACCATCGACAATGGAGTGGTGAAATCCGAAGTACACAGAGGTATTGTGAAGAAAGTTATTACTTTTTTTTTAAGGCGCCTGTTCATCAATCTTAAAAATTTACACATGTTATTTCCTTTAAAATACTACGCTATACTATACTATAACGTAATGCGAAAAATATCTGTCTCTTAATATTGCTTAGAATTTGTTGGGCCTAAAAAATCGAATACTTTACATAATTTTTTCTTTTAAAAAATTTTCTCGATCGCAATACTTACCCTTACTATATATTACATATATACGTAAGTGAAAGTAAAAAAATTATCATTTGGTTAAAATATAATATATAGTTAAAATAGTTGCACAAAACGGAACAAGTGCCATACATTGTTTTGAGAGGGATTTTGAAATTTTACTTATTATTATTAATCAATTTTTACGGAATTTAGAATTTTTTAGGAGGACACATATTGACAGAGTTGTGTATTTCTAGAAACTATATCAATGTGGAGTTACTATTATTGCAGAAACTTTCAACCAGTGAACAAGAA